AGAGATACTTACGAATTGAATAGATTCAGGTTTTGAAACATGGTAAAAACAGAATGTGGTACACACTTCCAAAGCGTTGGCAGTTTTTAATCCGTAATTTATGCTCATATAATTTATAGCAGGATATTTCCAGAGAAGATCTCTGCTATACAGCTGTCCAAAACTCTATTCCCTAATTTTCCTTTCTGAAAAGATTCCTGTAAGATGTGTGGGTGGTTCCTTACCACAGAGAGACTAGCAGGTCCTTCCAGAAACAAAATCTCCAAAAGAAGGAAAAAGAAGCTAGAAGATATTTCATTTACTCCAAGGCATGGCTTCATCTCTTCAAGAGGTCTTCAGCGGAAAGAAAACACAAGTAAAGTTTCCTTAGTAAATATTCACCTTCACACGCCAGATGAACACTACACATTTTGCACATCCTACGCTTTGGGAAACCAAAGCCAACAACCTTCTATTCTTAGGCAGCAGCAGAATTTCACAACAGCAGGTCACAGCCGAGACGCCTTCCCCATCAACGGTGAAAGAGCCAGACACAGCAAAGACAGAGCTAGTTACACAGCTCTGCAAAGATACCACAAAAATGAGCTGCAACTTCTGTTGCTGTCTCGGTCTCTGCAGTGTTCAGGGCCCTGCCATTAAGCTTCCACCGGAGGATCCAGAGCCCAGCTGATTTTTTCTACTTTGATATGTGTGAAAAAATACCACCAGTTCAGACTGGCAAACGGGCTCAAGTGTAGGGTCCCACGCATCTGATAAAGTAAACCTCCACGGAAACTGTCACTGCTAGTTTTACAGAGATTGTTGACTTGTGTGTGGTGGGAACGTAGACCGAACCAGGCGCACGCAGACAGAAGCACATTCTCAAGCCATCAGCAATTCCTTCGCATGCAGTACTTCCCCACACAAGGCAGACGGGAATCTTTGAATATCTGACAACAGCAACACTTCTCTACTAACTCTCCTGCAAATAGCTGTCTCTATAAAATGACTCAGAGAAAAGCGAATTATCTGGTATTTAAAAGCTTATCCATGCTCTGTACTACAGTCTGTGGCATGACGTCCAGATAGGCACTCAGTAAAAGTACCTTAAAACGTGCCTAATTATGGGTGGCCGCTGTCTCTCTGGCACAAATATGCGTGCACATCCCCACCCACTTCCTCCGAAGCACTTACTCCTCTTTGACAGACGACAGAGGGAGGGGGGAAGGATCCTGAGACATTGGTGGGATACCATCTGCATTGCTTAGGGAGTCAGCCAAATCTTCCACCTCAGATTTAATCATCTTCAGCTTTTTTTTCTTCTTGTCTTCCTTTTCCTTTACTTTTTTCTTCAGGGTTGCAAGGTCAAATAAGGCTTCAGATGTAATAAAAGGTAAGAAGAATAATGAGAAAACATCATACTAGATTTTAATAAGGATCATTAACTACACGTTTAAACATAAATGCAGAAATGTATTTCCTGTGCACCCATTCACCCTCCCAGTTATTTACACGAGTCCTTTTCTTTCTCAATGTGCTCCATTTTGATAGGAAAACTCTTTCATAAACCAGCGTATTTGAGATTGGGAAGGCCAACGTAACTGTGTCAAGCGGGGACACCCATTAATTTTCATCAACTTGTTGGAAGTACCCCCAGTGGAAATTAGGTAGCCAGCTAGCCAGCCAGCCTTTTAGAGAGCAAATTTCATATAGACTGCCTCCATCCTTAGCTTTTCACACACACAGGACTTACAGACCATGCAAGTACTACACTCAAGCCGCTGACCTGCTAAGGAACCTTTCCTGCCAGCATTTACACGAGTCATAATGTCATCAAGAGTCAGGTCTGCTGTCACTAGATCTGGGTGGTCCTACACAGGACAATGACATAGCAAAGAAAAACAGGAAAGAAAAAATGTGTTAGAACAGAAACAAGGGTACAGAAGATAACTAAATACTAGATTGCCCCAAGCTTATCCACGGTCAGCTTATAAAGTTATTTACTGCAAGCAAAATAAGGAAATCTCTCAACTCTGGAATCCAAAGTTTTGTCTCTCTTCAACACATCACTGAAATCACAGAAGACTTCCAAAGAGATGAGTATAAACAACAGGCACGTACATCCGCTCATAATTAAATGCAGGTTATGATAAAGGGTTGAAGGGCAGGCACACGCAAAAACACAGCTATCGCTTTCTCAGCCAGAAGCACCCTGCACTTCACAGCAAACAGACGAGAGAAAAGAGCAATATTCCAGTCCAAACCCTCTGATTCCCTCATATCTTACAGGTTGACGTTTTCGTTTCTCATGGTGCTTCTTCAACATCATCTTCAAGTCGCTTTCCCCAAGTTCTATCTTATCTGCAATGAAAAAAAGTTCTGAGATTATTCGCACAGTTTCCCATTACTCTGTTGTTACTTCAACAGACTTCTTAGATCGCCATTTTTTTACGCTCTCAGCAAGCTCCAAACTTCACTAACTAAATTTTCCTTCGTTATTTGAAGTTCAATCTTTTACTCAATCAGGTCATTTCACTGCATTCCTCCTTGGGTAATCCAGATGTAATTGCTGATGCAAGGACGGAAGTGAAAAGAAGGGAAAGCCCAGCTGTACTGTAAGAAGGCTACACAAACGTGATCACAGTAACCTTAGGATGGATTCCCTTTGTACATATGGTAAAACAGCTCAAACTGCACTATGCTGATGCTTCAGCCGTTAAAGGCAAAATACAACAGAAAATTCATTAGTAAGACACAAGTTGCAGAGCCTTGTATTAAAACATTAGTTTTCCAAGAAGAAAAAATTTAAATAAATTGGGAGAAGATGATCCAGGTGTTTTGCAGATTGTTATTTCATGCGAAAACTTGCAGTGCTTCATTTCTGCAGTTTTTCATATCTGATTTCTCAAAGTCCCGAAAGTAATTATCACCCCCTAAATCCTCATTTACCCCTGCTTTGGTTCTCACCTGCTGTTTTCATGTCCAAGGTTGATAATGTCGGGATCACCCTCAGTGGAACTGCTGGACTTGGACAACGAGCTGGAGAATTTGGAAGCCAGGAGCTCAGATCTCAAATAAACAAACAAACCAACAAACACATTCCTGTAAAAGTTAGCAACTCAAAATCCCGTTAATTCTAGTTCCCCACGCTCAGCAGAGCAGAGCCAATAAAACCGGAGATCAGTTTCATTTCTTCTATCAAAGACACTGTCCTCATATCAAAAATTCAGCTTTCCCCATTCACACCTCAAACCTTTACTTCAGTCCAGGGCGTTACCTTCCTCATCAGAAGACAAAGCAGTATCTCCACACTCCTCTTTCACTTCCCTCAGAATCTTCAAGTAGCGACGATGGGTCCGTCTGTCCCGTTCTTCTGTGTCACACGTTGGCGAGAAGTGCTTTTTCCTCAGGGTCATATCAGGACCTCCCTTCCTAGCTAAATCCAGCAAGTGCTGGAAGATGAGACAGGCATGACATCAGAAAGACCAGGCTGTCTCAGCTACAGCTCTGTAAGTTATAAGAAGTTAAGCTCAAATCACACAGTATCAGTATGGTTTAAGATTTGGGTAACTACCTCAGTTATAACCCCTGCAAAGTATCAGTATTTACCATATAAGCAATTTTAAAATTGGAGGAATCTTATAAAGGATTTCTGCACCGTCATCCGCGCTCATAATATATCACTAGCATTTTTTATGCATTGCTGAGCGTACCCAAACCACTGGTCTGAGAGGCACTTGTGAAGTTTCCATGCCAAATATATAATACAAACATGGAAAACCAGTTTCTTTCAAAGAAAGCTTTTTATCCCTTTTGGTAACAAAGGAAATAACTCCCTGTTCACTTCTGTATTCTCTTTTCCATACCGCTGTGAGGGGTTTTATGAAGACAGACTTTCTTCTTCATCTGTACATCGCATACGTTTAAATGTCCAAGCTTAACCAAAAGACAAAGAGAGCAAGTATTTGCCTTGGACGTGTTTCAGCTGGTGGTAACTGTCTGACAGCAGTACTGATAAAGGAAGACTTCTTCAGGGATTTACCGGCACCAGAATCAGACTTTCGTATCTATTCTGTATCAGTCCCCAGTGATGCTGAGGAATTCATACAACTATCTGTTTACCATCCTGTAAAAGGGCACAACTCCTTGTTTCGCAGTGACAGGAATGGTAGAAAAATTGAGGCAGATTGGTTTGTTAACAGAACTCTAAGGCGTAAAGGGTCAGATGGAGAAAAAGGAGAGGAAAAGAGGTGGGCATAGAAAAAGATGCTATATCAAAGTGAGAGAGATGAGAATTTCAAAACCTGAAGTTTGGTATGTATCTGTGCAAACACAAAAATTGTTCTAGTGATCTTATCTCACAGGGGCCATCGAAAAATCAGGCACGCAGCATTTATGAAAAGGGATACCTCTAAGAATTGTGAACGCACAAATACCAAGACACTTTGTTGCAAAGAAAGCCCATTCATTACAGCACAAGAAAGGGATGACTACACCCTGAAGATGCTCACGTTGCGGGAAGCAAGGATCTGCTTGAGCAGTCGGTAGAAGTACTGCTGCTGAGAGCTTAGGTAGCGTTTATATTGGGATTTGAAACAGAGTTGCCTGTATTTCACAACTTCAGGATTAAAGTGTCCATCTGTAAGAAAAAAGTTAAAAGCTGCTTCAGTTCTCATCAGCTACAAGTCAAGAACTTGACTTCAAAAACACACTGACGATATTACAGGCACTGACCCCGAAAAAGTTTCTGGGCTATGTGCAGTGGATTTCCAAAACGAAAGTTCTCGCCACTGAACAGTGCAGAGATGAGTTTGTTCTGATGCTCTCGGTTGTTTTCAGGAAAGTGCGGCAGGAATTTTTTTAGATGGTCTTGCTGTGCATCTGTCAGCACCTCCTGCCACGTAGACAAGCTGACAACTTCAAAAAAGATCTCAGGCTAAAGAAAGCACAAAACAATAGTGAAGAAAATGCATCCAGCATCCTTAACAAACTTCTGTCCCTCAGGGCTTTCTGCAGCTAAATAATACTAGACGCAAGACAGCGTCTCAGAGCAAAATGGAAAACAATACAATGCAAACAGGAAAGGGGAGCAAATTAAGGATTCTATTAGCAACAAGCGGAGAAAATCAAAATCTCTAAAACCCAAAACTTCTACTCTCTTCCCAAACGTAACTCTTTACTATAGAAGAGGTCTGAATCTAGCAAAGGAGCATAACAGAAAAATTTTAACTCAAGCTTTGCTGAAATTACACAAAGTACTGTTCAACACCTTTCCCAGGAGACTTGGAAACATTTCACTTCTTTTCAGTTTGGTCTCCTCTGCAGGCGCCACAAAGGGGGTTAAACATACTGTTTATCAAGGCTCTAGAAACGTGAAGTATTTGTAGCACTACTCACATCCTCCAGGAGGTCCTCAGGCAGACTAACTCTTGTCCCACCCAACATGCAGTCCTCCATGATTCGGGTGCCATTTCCCTCCCCGCATGGTCCCAGCTCCAGCGGGTCCGTAAGCATGTGATCCAGCGAGTCCATCCTTCGCTCTCTCGCGTTCCTAAACGACGACAGCAAAACCCTTAGCTCACCTACTAGCATCCATCAGAACTCCCAAGTCCAGTTACGCTCCAAACCAACAACGTTTCAGCAGAGGCATTCGATGAAGCGGTTGAGCGCAAGCTACAGAATCAACTCAAAAGATACAGAACGGGCACCTGCACAGTGTGAATTTACTACTATTTGACAGCAAAACAGATGACACCAACCGAGGAATGCTTTCCCACATAGCATGTGCCATGCCCCGGTGCAGATAAACACAACCCTCCTAGCGACACTGGAAAGCCCAAGTGATTTCTTTCACTCGGCTTCCTACCTGAGAGAGCTGCTACGGTGCGAAACACGGAGAAAAAGTTATGTTAAGTCTTAATTTTAAAAGGGGTTTTTTAGGCGCAGGCCGACACGCAGGGCTAGGTAGCTGTCTGGCCAAGAAACTCGTTCCCCTCGAACAGAATTTGACAGCGGCTGCCGGGCTCCGGACTAACTCGGCTTTCTACGCGGACCAAAAGGCACCGGCGACCGACGGACGCGTCCCCGCGGCAGGGCTGCACAGCCAGCCCCTAAGAAACGGTCGAAACGGGGCATGGCGTGCCAGGCGCTCCCCGGCCTCCCCTCCCCGCGG